TTGAATTCCTGGGCTCAAACAATCCACTCTCCTCGGCCTCCCAAAGTGCTGAGACTGCAGGGGTGAGCCACCGCATTCTGCTGACATCTCCTTTTCATTGAGAGTGGATTGTGCTCCAGGCAGTCCACATCTCTGGTTTCACTGAATTCTCACAATGAACCTATGTGGTAGGAACTGTCCTCCTTACCTTCAGTTGAAGAATCTGAAGCTCAGAGAGGTGAGGTGCCTTGCCCAAGGGTACACAGCAAGACGGTGGCAGAGCTGTCAATCAAACCCACATGTGTCTGGCTCCAGAATCTGTGCCCTTCCCACAGGTCCATACGGGTTTGCAGTGTGTTTGGCTGCCCAGTGGGGTGAGGGAAACAGGATTGGACAGGTCAGCAGGGGCCAGAGCATGCCAGGCTCAGAGTTTCACACTGGCTGTAGCAGTGGAGGAGCCACTGAAGATTTCCTCAGCTGGGAGTGGTGTGGTTGAGGCTGGGATCCCCAAGGCTCACTTTGGAGGTTACACAGAGGAGAATCAGGCTCACGTCAGGGGAAAGGGGAGCAGGTGTGCAAAGGAGCAATTAGACAGTAGCATGAAAACAGGATAAGAGGGGCGAGGACTAGGGGCTTAGATGGAGGCGGGGAGTGACTTGGGGTCCCATGCAAATTAGGGAAGGTATCTCCAAGGAGGTCCAAGTTGAGTGGCATTTTGTCAGAGCCAGTGCAGTACAGTGGAAAAAGCATGGCCTCTGGAGTCAGGCAGGCCTGGGTTTGAATCCCACCTCAGGCTCTCTCCAATGTGAGACCTTGGAGCCTTCTTTCTCTTTAGTAAAATGGGGGAAACCAGCCCTGATGAGGATGAAATGGGGTGATGCCGAGTGCATAGTGACTGGCGTGTAGGAGTTGTTTAGCAAACGTTGCCTTATTCAGAACAGAACAGTTACGAGGTCATCAGGTGGTCGAGTGAGGAAGCGTGTCCCAGGCAGCACATCTGTGCCCACGACTGGCAACGCGATGGGAAAGCTGATAGACTGCAGGACTGCAGGCCTTGGGGCACCTGGCCCACAAGCCGCTGAGCTCACTGGGTGGAACACTCGGGAGTTCTCGGGGTACTCACGTCCCTTCTGGGGGCCCCTCCTGTCCTCTTGGACCCTGCCTGGCTCAGCTTCCCCGTGGCTTGCCCTGTTCTGGCCTCAGGGCTGGCTGGGGCCTGCACACAGTGTGTGCTGCCTAAGTGTGTGTTTCAGTAGATGATACCTCTGCTCTTACCTGTCTTCTTCCCCGTCCAGGGAGAACCAGCCCTCCCCTGTGTGGGGATAAAGTGCTGGCCTGTCCTCTCCTCTGAGTGGGATGGGTGGGAATGGAGGGGCGGGTCGGCAGTGTAGGGCCTGGTTGTGTGGCCCTGGGCTTGTACCTTCCCCTCTCTGGCCCAGCTCAGGAGGCCAGAAAAGGGATCCAAAAGCTGAACCTCGGACATGTTCTGATTCTCAAATAGGGTGGATTCTGGAAACCACTGACTGCCACCTGCTCCCTGCTCGCCCTGCCCCTCCTGTGACATTGTGGGGCTGGCCAGCAGATGGTCCGTGAGCGGTTAGAAGAGGAGCAGGGACCACAGGAAGCGGTGTGAGTCCCCGACAAGCAGGTCAGGCTGGTCTCTCACGTGTCCACATTTGGTGGACACTGGATGCCAGACTGGTAGATGCCCCAGACATGATGATGGGCAGGAAGCCCACACAGGAGCTGAATGGGAGGACTCTCAGCTGGATTTGCACCTCCAAAGTGTTTGTGAATAAATAGGGGCCAGAAGCCGTGTCTTTGAGCCTGTCTTAGTGGTCCCTTTGATGCAGGCTGGCGTATCAAATCTGAATGCTGGTGCTGTGGGAAGGAGCTCATACTTTGCATGGGGAGTCAGGATTACAAATGACCATTCCCCGTGAGCCCCATTGTGGGGGAAACTGGGAACAATGTATTCATTGGTGCTTATTTCTTGGTATTTCGCTGGGCTGAGTTTTGTGCTGGCATTCCCTGGGGGTCGAGGAGAGGACTCAGCCTTCCCTCAGCGGGCTTATGGTAGAGATTGGGGGGTATTTCTGACAGTCAGAAGATGGACCCATCTGTGATGAGAGGGCACATAGAAGAGCGGGTGGCCGACTCTGCCTCAGGAGTTGACAATATGGAAGTCTCCATAGATGAGAGGTCATTTGAGGTGGGTTTTGAAGGTCAAGTAGGAGTTTTCTAGGCAAAGAGGGTGGGGGAACAAGCAGGTAGAAGTTTGAGAGGAGAGGGTGGGCCTCTTGGACATGCTGAATTTGATGGTCAGAAGAACTGCTCAGGAGGCAGGAGGATATCCAGGAGTGGAGCACAGGAAAGGCAGGGCCGGGGGATGATGATTTGGGAGCATTGGTTCAGAGGGAGTTAATTAAGCCTGCGGGGAGTGCTTGCAGTGAAAACAGAACAAAGCATGGACTCCTGATATGGGAAACAGCAGGAAAATAGACCACTCAAGGAGATGGGGACAGAGTAGCTAGAGAGGTGGGAAACCAGGAGAGTGCTTCAAGGCAGGACGAGTCAACAGGACCAAATGCTGCTGAGGGGTGAAGCAAGACCAGGTCTGCAAAGCGTCCACAGGATTTAGCAACACGGAGGGCGCTGATGACTTTATCAAGAGCACGTTCAGCAGAGAGATGTGGGCAGAAGCCAGACTGCAGTGGATTAACAGGGGAGGTGACATTTGAGCCAGGAAGTGGTGTGTCAGGTGAAAAACCAGAGTGCCGGCTGCGGACCAGTCACTGATGGTGGAGGGAAGCAGAGGGTCAGAGCAGGGCCTGTCCAAGAAGGGAGGAGGCCTGGATCCGTTCCTGGGCTGCTGCAAGGGGAGAATGCTGATGGGTGCTGACGAGAGGGGATAATGGGTGGAGCCCTCCTGAAGGCAGGAGGAGGGGGATGCAGGCCCAGGCCACAGAGCTGGCCTTTGTGGGGAGAAGGGCTGCAGGGAAGTTAGTAGTTGGAGAGGCTGGGCAAGAAGTTGGGGGCTCCCGATGTCGAGGTCATCGCTGAGAGAGTGGGCAGAGATGGGCTTGAGGAGAGAGGACAAGGTGCAGTATGGCCGCGGTGGGGAATGAGGAGGGAATGGAGCCAAGAAGGGCCACTGAGAAGCCCTGGGTGCCCAGCGGATGTGGAGCCCCTGAAGCTGTCACAGTGCCAGTTGGCACAACCGTAGATTTCTTCAGCAGCCTGGGGGTGGGCGTGGAGAGGGTAGCTTGTCACAAGGCTCCAGGGCTGGGGACGGCTGAGCGGGCATGACGGAAGGCTGGGGGAGGGGATCGAGGAGCTGGCACGCCTGGCCCTGCCACCTCCTCTGTGGTCCCAAGAGAGGCAAGGGCCAAGTGGAACTGCAGATGCTATTCAGAGGGAGTAGGCTCGGGTAGCACACGAGGGGCTGGAAGGGGTGGAGGCTGTGAAGAGAAGGGAGATGATAAAAATAAACGAGAGCGACTGTCTTCTGAGTACTTGCCGTGTGCCAAGTAGGGTGCTGAGGGTTTCAGGGCCCTCCTGGCAGGGGGTCCTCACTTGAGTCCTGGGGGCGGAGTATAATGAATGTCGTTCTCCAGAGGATAAAGCAGGGTCAGAGAGGTGAAGAGACCTTCCTGAGGCCACGCAGCTGATCAGTGTCAACACCCCATTTGGGATCCAGGGTTAACTCACTCCAAAGCTCTTCTGGGAGTCCAGGTTTCAGAGATGGAGAAATTTCAGGGACCATGTGGATCAGGCCCTGGGGCTGGTGACTGACGTGGAGGGAAAGGCCCCAGAGTGGATGAGTCCAGAGGCTGAGTTGGATGGCAGTTCCGAGCCCCCAGGCAGCGGGTTTGCTCAGGGTGGCAGCTCCTCATGCTTGGTGAGAAAGAGCTTCCTCTCAGCTGCAGTGCCTGGGCTGGGCAGCAGGGGGCAGGAAGAGGCAGCCCTGGTGGCTCTCTTCACACTCAGAGCGCCTGTCACGTGCTGCCGGCTTTTAGGATTAGGAAGGAGCTTGGAGGTGGGGGAGAGGAGCACCCAATACTCTGGGGACAGCATGGGGTGAGCCCATCCTCAAAGGCTCTTCCAGTCCCACCTGCTCATGCAGAGGCTGCTGGGCCTTTCCCTTCTGCGCCCATGTCTGCCCCTCCCTGACACCCCATTGTGAGAGAGGGCCCTGATGAGCTCATGTCTGAGCAGGAGGGCCAGGCTTTGGAGAATGGAAGCCACCAGGGCTAGTAGTGCTTCCAAGGCCTAGACCAGACACATAAATCAGGGCAGCTGAGAGCCTGGTGAGGCCAGGGTGAAGGCAGCCTGGCCTCCTCAAGCACCTGCTGCTCTCCTGGCCTCAGGGCCAGCAGGAGAAAGGTCTGTTGGATGTGGGCACCTGCCCTAGGCCCCTTGGGTCTCGTGGGGTGGCATTCTGACCTGTGCCTCCAGGTCATAGTCCAGTGCTGCTTGAGGAGCATGAACTGTATCTCAGAGATAGGCTCGGGGCCAGGGTTGCCGCAGCTCAGCTTGGATGTTTCTTCAGTCCCTAGAAGTCAGTCCAGTGGAGGAGCAAATGCAGCTGTGTGCTCTTGGACAAGGCACTTCCCCTTTCTAGCCCTCAGTTTCCTCGTCTGTAAACAGAGATGATGGTTCTTCCTTCCAGTGAGAGGACTAAAGGAGAGGGGTATGGGCCGCACTTGGCACAGAAGCGTTCCCAGAGCTCTTTCACGTGGGCGGCCGTGCCCCTTAAATCTCCCCCACATCTGGCTGAGGCAAGAGGTGGAAAAGATGACTGTGAGGCCAAGGGCTAGTCCTGTGTAGCCTTCTGAACCTAAGTTTCCTTGTCTGAAGCAGTAGTGGTGGGACAGAGGGCAGGATGTGATCCTGGGAGAGCATCATGCAGTTGGTTCCAGGCCCTCAGGCGAAGGGCAAGCAAGGCTCCCTTCACTGTGCCACTGTGGCAGGACCTAGCTGGCCTTTGCTGAGCCCCTGCCACCACCTCCGTGTTCCAGGTGAGGAGCCGGAAGAGGAACCGAAAGTGAAAACCCAGTGGCCGAGGTCTGCAGATGAGCCTGGGCTATACATGGCGCAGACAGGTAACTCGGGCCCGCCTCCCTTCCTCTGTGGCGGGGGCCCGACTGTGTGTGTCTGGTGGCGTGTGTGCTTGGTGTGTGCCTGTCTGTCTCTGTCCTGGAGTTCAGTCGCATCTGTGCCACATGAAGCTTGTGGGAAGGGCTGGGTGGCCTCCTGAAGAGTCTGTTACTTGGGGTCAGGGTAGGAGGATCCCTCTGATGCCTGCCCCCACCTTACTGCCGCTCCCCCTATCCCTATGAGACTGAGTGCTTGGGAGGTGCCCCCTGCCGCCGACGCTGTCCCTCTCTCGTAGGCGACCCGGCGGCTGAGGAGTGGTCCCCGTGGAGCGTGTGTTCCCTGACGTGTGGGCAGGGTCTGCAGGTGCGGACCCGCTCCTGCGTGTCCTCCCCCTATGGGACCCTGTGCAGCGGGCCCCTGCGGGAGACCCGGCCCTGCAACAATTCAGCCACCTGCCCAGGTAGGCCCATCCTCCTCCCCACCCCATCTGCCTGCAGGGTTAGGTCCTGCCTGGGACTCGGGCAGATTAATCTCCAAAATGGTTGGTTGCCTCCTCCTTTCATTCAACAAATGTGGCTGCTCCCCACACCATGCCCAACTGTGCACCATGCCAGCCTGGCGCAGGGCACTGGGGGCACAGATGGATCAGACCAGGGCCCATGCTACTGGGTCCGGTTCTGGGCACATCATTCCCCCAGTGCCTGCATCCTGGTAACCAAAGCTCATGTTTTTACCCACTCCGCTCTGGCCATATCAGTAGCTCGCGCACTTTCCCACCTCCCTGCATTTGCTGATTCTTGTCCTATCCTTCCTCCCCCACCTTGACTATTCAAATTCAACCTGTCCTTCAAGATCTAAGACAAATGCCACTTCCCTGACCTTCCCCTCCCTCCTTTGGGCTCCCCCTCTCCAGGGAGCCTCCCCCAAGCCTCCCTCAGTTGAGTGTGTAGTTGTTAAGGAAATGCATGTGCTTGCTTGAGACAGTAAGGGCAGGGCAGCCTCAGCCAGTCCTGCTCCTTGCTCCCTGCGGGGGTGAAGTGGGGCCTAGGCCATGCCAGTGGTATTGTGGATTTAGAGCAGGGCCTACCTGGGAAGGGCTCTTGGTACCTGGGGGTGTGGCAGGAGTTTGCAAAGGCCTGAGGCAGAGCTGTGTTCCAGAGTGTGAGCTCGGTGTGTCGGTGTCTGTGTAGAGGTTCATGTTTAATTGTGTGTCTATGCGCTTGGGGCTGGGAAGGGCACTTCTCTTGCCCCCGGACTGCTGTGTTGTATTGAGGTTGTGGGTCTAGGGGTGGGGTGGGGAGGGGTGGAATGGCGTGGATCCTGGGTCCTTTCCTGAATTTTCCTGTGCCCTCAGGAGAGGACCCCTGGTTCTCCTCCTCTGTTGGTCCTGGCCTCCTTGTCCAGGCGTCCACAGGGGCTATCCTATGTGAATTAGGACCAGAAGCCTGGGTCTTGCATATCCCTTCGAAGGGTCGCGCCTTGGTGGGGCCCTGGGAGATCCCCCTGTCAACAGAACTCGGGGCAGAGCCAATGAGGAGCAGCCGCAGAGCTGCGGAGCTCCTGATTGGTGGGCGGATGGGCAGGCTCTGGTGGTGGGCGGGGCCATGGTGCCGCCCAGCCACCGGCCACGTGCTTCCTTGCAGTGCACGGCGTGTGGGAGGAGTGGGGGTCCTGGAGCCTGTGCTCCCGCAGCTGCGGGCGGGGGTCCCGGAGCCGGATGCGGACCTGCGTGCCCCCCCAGCACGGCGGCAAGGCCTGCGAGGGTCCTGAGCTGCAGACTAAGCTCTGCAGTATGGCTGCCTGCCCGGGTCAGTAGCGCCCGTGGGCTTCCATGAGGGCGCTGGCCAGCCCGGTGGGGGGTTGGGAGACCTGGGGAGGCAATCAGGTCCAGTGACCTGCCCCTGGGAGCCCCGTAAACTTTGACCAAGCATGGGGAGACTGGAGAAGTATGCCTGCCTGTGTGCGAGGTGACCCCCTAGCCCTGACTTGAGTTAGTACTCTGTGACTCCATCAAAAGGGGACCACTCTTTCTCCAAGTCCTGGGCTGCCCTTGCATTTTGGTGCCTGGCCAGCTGGACTGTGAGAGGACACAAAGTTCGGCTGAAGTACTGACAAAGATCAGAAGACACCCCTGCAGCCCCTTCCCTTAGCCAGAAGTGAGTTGTGCCTGGTGCTAAGAGGAGAGGTGTCCTGTATTTCTGGAACTGGTGGCAGGCAGGCAGCATGAGACCCAGGCACTACCTGCTCACTCCAGCCTCCCTCATAACCCCCTCCCCTCCCCACTCCAGTGGGTCTGGCCTGGCTCAAATCTGAAGGCCTAGCAGGCTCTGGGTCTCCCTCTGGTGCTCCACACCACCAACCCTCACACATCCTGCTCAACAGCCACCCCTGCTTGTGTCTCCCCATGCAGTGGAAGGCCAGTGGCTAGAATGGGGTCCCTGGGGCCCATGCTCCACGTCCTGTGCCAATGGGACCCAGCAGCGCAGCCGGAAGTGCAGTGTGGCGGGCCCAGCCTGGGCCACATGCACGGGTGCCCTCACTGACACCCGGGAGTGCAGCAACCTCGAGTGCCCGGGTGAGTGCTTGGCACAGGGGTGGCAGGTGGCAGCTCTGGCCATGGGGGCACCTGGGCCCACTCATGCCTCCCCTCTCCCACAGCCACTGATAGCAAGTGGGGGCCATGGAATGCATGGAGCCTGTGCTCTAAGACGTGTGACACAGGCTGGCAGCGCCGCTTCCGCATGTGCCAGGCCACGGGCACGCAGGGCTACCCCTGCGAGGGCACCGGAGAGGAGGTGAAGCCTTGTAGTGAGAAGAGGTGTCCAGGTACTGCCCTAATGACCCTGGGGGCTGGGGGCCCCACGTACGGGCCCAGCTGAGCCTTACTCCTGCACCCACAGCCTTCCACGAGATGTGCAGGGATGAGTACGTGATGCTGATGACGTGGAAGAAGGCAGCTGCTGGTGAGATCATCTACAACAAGTGCCCCCCGAACGCCTCAGGTAAGGGGCAGGTGGATTTCCCTGCCACCACCACCCCTGCCATTCTCATTGCCCCCCTTCTGCACCCCCAGCCTCTCTGAGGTGTGGAGGAGTGGGGGTGAGAGCTCAGTGCCCATGCCCAGACCTCTGTCCTATTGCCCTGCAGGGTCTGCCAGCCGCCGCTGTCTCCTCAGTGCCCAAGGCGTGGCGTACTGGGGGCTGCCCAGCTTTGCTCGCTGCATCTCCCATGAGTACCGCTACCTGTATCTGTCAGTGAGTGCGCCCTGCTGGGCTGGGGCACCGCAGAATCTGTCTCAGACTCTGCTAAGGGGTGGAGGGAGCGTGATTCTCATTCATTCCCACGTGCCTTGGCATATGCTGTGCCCACTTCTGCCTGGCTGTGCCTCTCCTTGTCTGGCAAACTCCTACTCATACCTCAAGGCCTGACTCTTGAGTGTCTTCTTTTATCCCTGGTGCCTACCTCTGCACTCCTGCAGATTGAGCTCCTCAGTCATTAGGTGCTCATCCAAGTATCTGTGTGTGCTGCTAGACTGGGGCCTCCTGGAAGTCAGGGGAAACATTGAATTTAGTTTTGTGTCCCCAGCGCCCAGCCCAGGGCCAGTCATGGGGTAAGAGCAGTGTCAGCAAATATGTGTATACGTTTGACTATAACTGGGTATTAATTGTGTGAATGCATTTAGAGCTTGTGTTGAGAGAGAGTGAGAGAGAGAGAGAGAGAGAGAGAAAGAGACTGTGTGTGTGTGTATGTGTGTGTGTGTGCGCGCGCGCACGCGCACGCGCACACACAGACACACTCATTACACATGACCCCTTTGGGATGGGGAGGTACCCTGTTCCCATACTGTGCTTGTATCTTTCATATGTACATCTGAACACCTTTTTTTCTCTAGGTGTTTCTATTTCAGTCTTTTTTAAAGTACCCTTTGGGATTCTCTCTGTCTTTATGAGTCTCTTTCTCGGATTCTGTCTCCCCTGTGCGCCCCTTTGAGCCTCTTTGACCCTTTCCCCCTTTCTCTCCCCGTGGATGCAAGCAGTGGGTGGACTGGAGTGGGATGGGCCAGGGTCTGGTTCCAGCTCCTGACACTTCAGTGACTGTGGCCCCCTCATCACCTACAGCTTAGGGAGCACCTGGCCAAGGGGCAGCGCATGCTGGCGGGCGAGGGCATGTCACAGGTGGTGCGCAGCCTGCAGGAGCTACTGGCCCGGCGCACCTACTATAGTGGGGACCTGCTCTTCTCTGTGGACATTCTGAGGAATGTCACTGACACCTTTAAGAGGGCCACCTACGTGCCCTCAGCTGATGATGTGCAGGTACCGCCTAGGAGGAAGGAGGGCGGAGGGTGGAGAAGGCCCAGACTGAAGGGGGAGGCCAGGCCCCTAGGCAGAGTCTGCTTCAGAGGCGGCAAGTTTGGCTGTAGTGGGGGAAGCCCCCTGTTCCCTGGGGCTAGGACCCCCTGCCACTCATTGCTCTCTCCCCAGCGCTTCTTCCAGGTGGTGAGCTTCATGGTGGATGCGGAAAACAAGGAGAAGTGGGACGATGCTCAGCAGGTGCGGGGCACAGCTGCCAGCTTCTCCTCCCGTGACCCACCCTGCCTTGGACCCTTACACACTCTCTGTCCCCAGGTGTCGCCTGGCTCTGTGCACCTGCTCCGTGTCGTGGAGGACTTCATTCACCTGGTGGGCGATGCTCTCAAGGCCTTCCAGAGCTCTCTGATTGTCACGGACAATCTAGGTAGAAGGAGGCAGGCAGGGGAGGGGGTCCTGAATGTGCCAGAACTCAGGAGGTTCCATCTTTCCTCTACCTAACCCCATATTTGTGTCTTTCTCTCCACATTCCACCCTCTCCTTCTTCTCTGTGTGGTCTGTTTCTCTGTGTACATCTTTCTGTCTCTGTGTTTGTACCAACTTCGGTGTCCTCATCTTCCTTTCCTGGTACGTGTTTCCCTTACATCTATCTCTTCCCCTGGTCTGCCACCCTTTGCCTCTGCCCCTCTGTCTGTCTCTGCCCACCCTTCTCCCACTGCAGTGATCAGCATTCAGCGAGAGCCCGTCTCAGCTGTGTCCAGCGACATCACGTTCCCCATGCGGGGCCGCCGGGGCATGAAGGACTGGGTGCGGCACTCAGAGGACCGCCTCTTCCTGCCCAAGGAGGTGCTCAGCCTCTCCTCCCCAGGGAAACCAGCCACATCTGGGGCAGCAGGCAGCCCTGGCAGGGGGAGGGGCCCAGGAACGGTGCCCCCTGGCCCGGGCCACTCCCACCAGCGCCTCCTCCCAGCAGACCCCGATGAGTCCTCCTACTTTGTGATTGGTGCTGTGCTCTACCGCACCCTTGGCCTCATCCTGCCGCCCCCCAGGTGAGTCCTGGGGATGGGTGGATGGGGCTGCTGAGGGTCCAGGAAGGCCCAGGTAAGGGAAGGAGGACTGAGCCAGTGCTGGCTGCAGAGATCCACGGCAGCCTCCTCCACCTTCAGGAACCCCTTGCCTGGCTCTGGATACGTGCTTCTCAAATATATCCATGCTGCTCCCAGAGGCTGGGCTGCCACCCAGGGCGTGATGGACAGAGCTCTAGACCTCACCCGAGGTCCTGGATCCCACTGAGCTAGGCCTTCCCCTAGGTCTTGGCTCCCTGGAAACTTCTGCCCCCCCATCCAAAGCAGCTTCAGGGTTTCTGATGGGGGCTGGCACCCGCTGGCAGGAGCTGACTTCAGTACCTGTCCCCCAGGCCCCCACTGGCCGTCACATCGCGGGTGATGACAGTGACTGTGCGCCCCCCTACCCAGCCTCCAGCCGAGCCCCTCATCACTGTGGAGCTCTCCTACATCATCAATGTGAGTGGAGATCCACGCAGAAACCCTGGGTGCACCCCAACCTGGGTGGCCAGAGGCCTGCCTGGTGGGATGCACTCTGTCCCTGATGGTGGGCTGAACCTTGGACCTGTGTGGGAGGTGCTGTGGCCCCCATGGCATGGGCAGTGGTGGGGTGTGGTGAGCTTCCCACTTTAGACTGCACTCGTGTCTTCTGCTCCCTAGGGCACCACGGATCCCCATTGCGCCAGCTGGGACTACTCCAGAGCGTGAGTTGGGTGGCTCCTCTGGGTGAGGAAGGGAGCAGCCCTAGGGCCCCTTGTCAGAAAGGGGTCTCCTGCCTGAAAGGCAAGAGGGATTTTTGGTGCCATCCTAGCCTAAGGGGTCAAGAACATATCCTGGGCCTCCCTGCTGTTGCCTCGTGGATGTGGCCTTACTGTGGATTTAGCCTGTCCTTGGGCAGTGGCCAGGACTGGGGGCAAGGCCATGTAGCTGGCCTGGGGCTCACTGAATCTCTCCCCTACCCAAGAGATGCCAGCTCAGGAGACTGGGACACTGAAAATTGCCAGACCCTGGAGACCCAGGCAGCTCACACCCGCTGCCAGTGCCAGCACCTGTCCACCTTTGCTGTGCTGGCCCAGCCGCCCAAGGACCTGGTGAGTGGAACAGAGGTGCCTGGGCTGGACAAGGGAGGAGGCCCTGGGCTTCCAGCAGCCATCAGTGATGGTGTTGGCAGGCACCTGGGTGATCCTGAACGTGCATCTGCAGGTGCACTTGTGGGATTGCACGTGGAAGTCTGTGTCCCTGGGATTGTGCTGACAGCAATGATATTTGCCTGGGGGTATGCAGCAGCGGCCAGTTGTGTGTGTGTGTGTGCACATGTGTGTGTCTGGGTATGTGGAAGAGTGCAGGTGACTGAGCGTAAATATGTGTCCACATGGATACCTGGGTCTGTTCTGTGCATGCATGAGTACAACATCTAGAAGGTGTTGCCCTTCTGCCTGTGGGTATGCCAGTCTGTGGTAGATGAAGGAACGGGGCACCCCGGCAGCTCCCCTCTCCCAGCAACCCATCTGACCATCTACCCATCTGACCATCTGCCCATCTGACCGTCTGCCCATCTTCTCCAGACCCTGGAGCTGGCGGGCTCCCCCTCGGTCCCCCTGGTGATCGGCTGTGCGGTGTCATGCATGGCACTGCTCACCCTGCTCGCCATCTATGCCGCCTTTTGGAGGTAGGTCTGACACCTGGCTCTGGTGGCTGGCGAGGGGGGAGGGGCGTGGGAGGTGGCCAACCACACCAGGTTGGGTAGGGCAGCCAGCGCCTCTGTCTCTGCCTGCTGTGCCCCGGCAGGTTCATAAAATCTGAGCGCTCCATCATCTTGCTGAACTTTTGCCTCTCCATCTTGGCATCCAACATCCTGATCCTCGTGGGCCAGTCCCGGGTGCTGAGCAAGGCAGGTGCAGGTTTCCAGGGCTGCCAGGGTGTGAGCGGGGTGGAGGGTGGAGGGGTGAGGGTGGAGAGCGCAGTGTGTGTGTTTGCTTGTATGTCCATCAGTGGTAGCGTGTGCGTGCCCCATGCTGAGATTAGAGTGTGTATGAAGTAGTGTGTGAGACCGTATGTGAAGACGTTGGAGAGGGGGTGTGTATTCAAGTGAGGAACGTCTGTGAACATCAGCAAATGTGTGTGTGAGCTGAGCGCCGGGTGTGTTTTGGGCAGGTGGCATTGGGCCTCCTCGTGTCTGTGAGCGTGTGGGAGCCTGAGTGAGGCCTCCTTTGCCACCTACCTGTGGATGACCTGTGCAGACTGTTCCCTATGCCCCCCCCGGCCTTCTCTGCACAGCGCCAGGCACGGGGCCTGCCCGGCTGTGATGTGGCAGGTGCTCATGTCTGTCCCCCTCCCTGCCAGCCGCGTCTGTGCGTGGGCGGCCTGCCCACCCGCCTCCCTAGATGCCGAGTGCTGTGTGTGTGTCACCAGGCCCGTGTCGTGCTGTGTGTGGGTGCAGGAAGGCGGGGGAGCCTGGCAGGGCTCTGTGGGGGGCGGGGCTCAGGTGGGCTGCCGTGGCAGCGCCCAGCAGCGGGCGTGGGAAGCCCGGCGCCTCCTGCCCTGGCGGCTGCTCAGGGCCACTCCCTCCCATTCCCTCTCCCTGCAGGGCGTGTGCACCATGACGGCTGCCTTCCTGCACTTCTTCTTTCTCTCCTCCTTTTGCTGGGTGCTTACCGAGGCCTGGCAGTCCTACCTGGCTGTCATTGGGCGGATGCGCACCCGCCTCGTTCGCAAGCGCTTCCTCTGCCTGGGCTGGGGTGAGCAGGGCCAGTGCTGGACTCTGCTGCTGGGCCTTGGTGGGCAGGGGCAGCCAGAGAGGTTCAGCTTTGGCCCTGGCCCAGCTCTCTGGGCACAGGGGTCAGCTGGGCTGGGAGTCTGGGAGAACAAGGGGTCCCTGAAGACCAGCAGCCGTCTCACTCTGGCGCCCCCGCTCCCCCAGGTCTGCCTGCCCTGGTGGTGGCCGTGTCTGTTGGCTTTACCCGAACCAAAGGATACGGTACATCCAGCTAGTACGTGGGCCTCCCGTGGTGGGTGGTAGGGGTTAGTGGATCTGTTAGGGAACTGGACTGGGCGGCCAGCTGAAATCCTGGCCCATGCCTGTTGTGGGTCTTTGGGCAAGTTCCTCCCCATTTCTGAGCCTCAGTTTCCCTGACTGAGGGAATGTGCTGGGACTGGGTAATCCCTAAGGGACTGTTTAGCTCAGGAGTCAGCCTTGTGTCATCCCCATGGGAGCCCTGGGGGATGAGCCTAATGTTCTGGACCTTTGTTGGAGGGGAAACCGAGGCTCAGCAGGAGCCAGTGGATCACTCTCACTGTGTGGGGCTCAGACTGCACTGGCCATGTGGGCATGGCAGCCTGGGAGGACTGAGGAGTGGTGTTTGAGGGTGGGGAGGGAGGCTGCCGGGTGTCTGACACCCTTCTTCTCCCCCACCCCAGCTGCTGGCTCTCCCTGGAGGGCGGCCTGCTCTACGCCTTTGTGGGCCCTGCAGCCGTCATTGTCCTGGTACGTGCCCGTTCAGCATCCTGGAAGGGGCGTGGCCCCAGAGGGTCATCCTGTTTCTCCCTCTACCTCCTCCCTGCACTCCAGCTCCCATGTGGGAATTTCCCTGCCAGGAGGGCACCTGGTGATCCTGTCTCCCCCACTCCACTCCACTGGGCCCCCAGGTGAACATGCTCATCGGAATCATCGTCTTCAACAAGCTCATGGCACGTGATGGCATCTCCGACAAATCCAAGAAGCAGAGGGCCGGGTAAGGGGAGGGCCTCTGAGACTTGGCCTTTCTGGAAATGGTGCAGGGAGGGAGGGACATGGGTGCTCTTGGAGACTCAGGGCTCGATGATGCGACCGGGGCTCCCCAACCTTGGTTGCATCAAGGTTGCAGGCAAGGTGGGCACCCGGAGTGCTCAGCCGCAGCCCCTCACCCACCCTAACCCAGCTCTCTCTCTCTCGTCTGCCCTCCCCTCCCACCCCACTCGGGGCTCACTCTGCCCCATCTCCCGGCTTCCCATGTGTTTCCCCTCCTTCTCCCATGTCTGTGCCGCCCCCGAGGTCGGAGCGGTGCCCCTGGGCCAGCCTGCTCCTCCCCTGCTCAGCGTGTGGAGCGGTCCCCAGCCCCCTGCTCAGCTCAGCCTCGGCCAGGAACGCCATGTTAGTCGTGCCCCCTGGGGGGCGGTGGGGGTGGGTGGGGCAAAGGAATTGGGGGGGCAGTGCCCATGGTGGGGGGAGGAGGAGGGATATCAGCCCAGTGCCCTGGAAAGCTTACCCTTTCCTGCCAGCCGCCACACACTCTCAAGGGCTCGGCAAGAGGTGGCCAAGGCGATGAGGAGTGGATGTCTGTGCTTCCCACAGGTGCCCGGTTCCTTCGCCCACCCTTGGATCCCGCCCCTGCCCTCACTCCCAGCTAATGTTCTATCCTGCACAGCCCCACACCCCCAACCTACAGAGACTCAGACAATCTTAAGCCTTAGAATTTTTGAGCTATAGAACCTTAGAATTAGAATGATAGACTCTTAGAATAAGACAATCAGAAGCTAAGAATGTTAGAATGAGTGAATCATTGAGTCTTATCATCTGTCATAGAATCTGAGACTTAGCATTTCAGAGGCATTGAATCTCACCCTCAATTGGAGACAGAGAATCATGGAGGTAGAGAATTAATTCACTGAGACCCCCGCCCTAGCATCTGAGAATCTTAAAATCCCAGTTATGCGAGGGTGAAACGAATCCACAAAGACCGTAGGCCCAGCCTCCCACCCAGGGCCTGAAATCCATCCAAGCCTCCCTGCTTAGTGAGGTCCAGCTTTATCTTGCACACCTGCAGGGTCAGGGAGCTCAGAGCCTCTGGAGGCGGCTGGCACCGTCACTGCGAAGCTCCCTCTGTCTTGGGCTGCCGTCTGCCTCCCTCACCCTGTCTGCACTAGCTGTTTCAATGCTTGGGCTTTGGAGTCGGTCAAGCTGTGTTTGTATCCCAACTGTGCTTCTCCCTGCCCAGCTGGGCACACTCCAGTTTCCTCATCTATAAATTGGGATAATAATCCCATGCCTGTTAATTGGAGTTATTTTGATCACGATTTGAAGTAATATATGTAAAGTGTTCAGTGTAGGGCCTGGTAGAGAATTGGTGGTTAATCAGTGTAGCTCTTATTACTGTGATTAGACCCTCTCTTGGTCTTGGCTCCACCTCCAGGGGCTTCAGAGCCCATTGTGCCTGCCCCCTGCCAGGCTGAACAGCCCTGAACTGCTCTTCCTAGGGCAGGTCTTGGCCCCCTGCCCATCTCTCTGCCTTGGCCTCCCCCGGCTGTCTCTGTGGAATGGTGCCACCCTCTGCCTTGCCCAGAGCTGTGCCTGACTCTCCCACTGGGGGTGTTTGCAAAGGAGAGTGGGCTGAGTGTGGCACCTGGCCCGGGAGGGTATGGTGGCCTCGCTGTCCCTCGTGTGCTGTAGCAGGTTAGGGAGGGGTGGGAATGGCTCGGATGCCAGGCCCCATCTGCTTTTTTTCTGCCCTCCCCTGGCAGGGAGGCCCCAACCCCAGCTTTCAGCCCCAGCTCTGATCCTTCTGCCCAAGGCTCTGAGCAGTCCCTGGGAGCCTGGCACCTTCTCTGTGTGTGTGGGGAGTTCTGCTTCACTGGTCCTGGCCCCCGGTCTTCTCCCTGAGGATTCATGCTCTGGATGTCCCCGGCGTGCTCTGCCTCTTTAATCTTTCTGTCTGGGTGTCTCTGTGGCATGCGTTCTCTCACTGGTTATTGTCTTTTTGTCCCTCTTCCAGTCCCCCTCCCTAGCCTACCCATTTAGGCTCTGGGGATGCCATCCAGGCCCTATGCATTTTAAAAAAGCTTCTCAGGTGATTCTGTGCAAGTTGGGGCTGAAACAGCATCTGCTTCTGTCTACCTCCTCTTCTTTCTCCCCGTCCCTTTCCACTGTCTGTGGCTCGGTCCCACTGTGTCTGTGTGTCCCTCCCCACCTTCCTGGTCCCTGCTCTGACCCTGTAGTTCGCTGCTTTCGGTCTCTGTTCTGTTTCTCTGGCTCCGGCTCCTCAGCCCCTCTCTGCTTGGGGACATTACTGAGGCCCTGGGGTTTGGGGCCCTCCCAGTCTTGGGCAGCTGAAGGGCTCCAGCTGAGTGGAGGCCTAGGCTCAAGCCATCCTGTCCCCTGGAGTATCACTCTGATGGGCTCTGCCACTGTCCCCTCAGGGCCTCACTTTGGAGCTCCTGCGTGGTGCTGCCCCTGCTGGCGCTCACCTGGATGTCTGCCGTCCTGGCTATGACAGACCGTCGTTCCGTCCTCTTCCAGGCCCTCTTTGCTGTCTTCAACTCTGCGCAGGGCTTTGTCATCACTGCTGTGCACTGCTTCCTGCGCCGAGAGGTGGGGCTGGGCCTCTCCCACCCCTGTGTACCCACCACACCTGCCAGGCCCCTGGCTTCTTCCCCACTGTGCAGACCGGGAGGGCCAAGGCCCTGACCAGGGTGTTCCAGGCCCCATCTGGGCAGCCCTTAGTGTGGAAGCTGATAGCCCGGGATACCCACAACTGTCCCCTATGCTTATCCTTGGCATCCTGGGTCTCCTCCTCCCCTGGCACCCCACCCAGGTGTCATCACCTTCCCCAAGGCTGGATGTGTTGCCTGCCTTCCACACTTGCCTGGGCATCTGGGGTGGGAAGCACAGCCAGCTGTGGTCGGGGGCCCTGCAGTGGCCTCAGGCCCAGCAGGCGCCCTCTGTCCCCAGGTCCAGGATGTGGTGAAGTGCCAGATGGGGGTGTGCCGGGCTGATGAGAGCGAAGACTCCCCTGACTCATGTAAGAACGGGCAGCTGCAGATCCTGGTGAGTTAGGGGCCTGGGCAGGGCCTGGGCAGATTCTGGGCACCCCACACCCCAGTCTTCCTGCCCTAGACCATTTACCTTCCCCATCCATGGCAGGGTTGGGATAGGGATTGGGTTTGATTCAGGCTCAGCCACTAATGCATGGGTGGCATTGGGAAATCCTTCCCCCATTCAGTTTTCCCAGCCATCAGGTAGGGCTGGGGTAGACCATGCCTGGGCTCTGCTGGGCTGTGGACTGGGCCATGGGCAACCCTCAGGCAGGCAGACTGGGCACAGCTGGCTGGGGAGAGCCTGAGCCTCCTCCCACCCTGTTACATTAATCCTCCCTCTGCCCACCTGCCCCTCCCTTTCCGCCTATAGTCAGACTTTGAAAAGGATGTGGATCTGGCTTGTCAAACAGGTGAGTGTGCCATGACAGAGCTGAGAATGGCCCTGGGGTTGGAGAAGGGGAGGCCCCGATCCCCATCATGGGAGGCCCTGATGGAGTTCTGGCCGCTGGAGTCCAGCTTTGAAGTTAGACAGCCCTGAGTTGGATGCAAGGCTGCGAATGTCCCTTTCTGTATGACCCTGGGCAAACAACCTGCCTCTCTAAGCCTCAGTGAACACGCCTGTAAAGGAGAGAAGACTGTCCTCCCAGGGCAGGGTGGAGGCTCAGGGGCATGCCTGAATCACGGAACATCGAGTCCTTAGCAGGACCCCGGTACAGAGTGTTAGGTTATTATATGATTTCCAGATTCTTACCAGAATCTCTTTCCATTTCTGTCTCCTGGGGAACTGCTGCACAGGGAGGTGGGAAGACAAAGCCCTTTGACAGCCCTGGGGCTCTGGGGTCAAAGTCGGGACCTGCACCAGGTCATTGGGAGCTGGGCCTTGCCTTTGTTTCTTGCCCTGTCTCACTGTGGGGACTTTGGGGCCATTGTCTTCTTCACCCCTCTTGTATGTGAGAGATTACCAACCACCCAGCCATCTCTCCAGAACCCAGTTTCCTTTCCTGTCCAAGCGCAGAGACTTGGTACCTCCCCAGCCTAGGCAAGGACATCTGGAGGTTCCTTCTCCTCAGGACTCACCCCCTCCCTCCCACTCCTGCCCCCAGTTCTGTTCAAGGAGGTCAACACTTGCAACCCGTCCACCATCACGGGCACACTGTCCCGCCTGTCCCTGGATGAGGATGAGGAGCCCAAGTCCTGCCTCGTGGGCCCTGAGGGCAGCCTCAGCTTCTCACCACTGCCTGGGAATATCCTGGTGCCCATGGCAGCCTCACCAGGGCTGGGGGAGCCGCCGCCCCCGCAGGAGGCCAACCCTGTGTACATGTGTGGGGAGGGCGGCCTGCGGCAGCTGGACCTCACATGGCTGCGGCCCACTGAGCCGGGCTCTGAGGGCGACTACATGGTGCTGCCTCGGCGGACTTTGAGCCTGCAGCCTGGCGGTGGGGGTGGAGGCGGTGAGGATGCCCCCAGGGCTCGGCCGGAGGGGACCCCCCGGCGGGCTGCCAAGACAGTGGCCCACACTGAAGGCTACCCCAGCTTCCTGTCCGTGGACCACTCGGGCCTGGGGCTGGGCCCTGCCTATGGGTCTCTCCAGAATCCCTATGGAATGACCTTCCAACCGCCACCACCGACACCCAGCGCCCGCCAAGTGCCCGAGCCAGGGGAGCGCAGCCGGACCATGCCTCGCACCGTGCCTGGCTCTACCATGAAGATGGGCTCCCTGGAGGTGAGGGGCTGTAGGGAATGGGGTGTGTGTCTGAGACTCTGTGTCAGAGACTGTGTGTCAATCACAGGCTGCAGCCAGGAAGGGACAGCCTCAACCTCCCCAGAGCAGCCTTTTGTAAAAGTCACTGGGGGTGGGTACACTGAGCATTTCTCCCTCTGTTTCTGCTCATGGCAGCTCTGTGGGATCTGTGAATCCCTCAGACACGCTGGGACTCCATGCACTGGAAGGCGCTTCTCGACTCGTTCGTACTTGCTTTAGGGCCTACTTTGGGGTGACTGGTTGGGATGAGTCCTCATTTCAGGAGACTGTGGCTCAGGCAGTGTGCTATGCTGTTGGGGAAGCCACATCATAGGGTGTGAGCCTCGGCTTCTGCGTCACGCAGGTCTGAGTTCCAGCCTGGACTCTGTGATTGGCAGTGAGATCAGTGAGCCTTAGTTTTCTTGTGTGCAAAGTGGGGATAATGTAGCAGTCTCTTCATAGAGTAGTTTTGAGGATTGAGTGATGCAAAGCATTTATCTTCGTGTGGAGCAAGTAGAAAGTGCTAGATAATTGGGGATTGCTGCTGTTAGCGTCCCTGAAGTCAGCTGCAGGCGCCGCCCACAGGCCTGTGATAACTGACCATCTCTTCCTGGGAAAAGCAAACCCCTCTGGGTCCCTGCCTGTGTGTGTTCTGTGAATGCTCCACCTTCCCGCTGGCCTCCTCAGGTCTGCTCCCTGCAGAGGATCCCTGGGAACAGACAGACAGTAGTGGCCTGCTGTGGAACTCTAGAACATTCTACAACTTTATTGGAGTCATGAAGTGGGTGTGGTTAAGGAAAGAGGCCAGAGCCATGGCTTAGCCACAACTGACTGTTCCTGCTCGGCCTCAGAAACCCACTCCCCATCCTCCACACAATGAAAATTAAGTTAGTAGCTAGGGGGCTCGCAAGTTTAGTTTTTCTCCCCAAATGTTTCTGGAACATTTGGTGCCTGCTCCTGCCACAGATGGCAAAAACAGGAAGGCGTAACAAAGACAAAACGCAACACCAGCGTCAGAGAAGGGCGCGCTTGGCGTTATGGCGGGTTTTGTTCTGTGGACACCTGCCTGCTGGCCGCTGATGAGGGCGGACGTCAGGCTCCTTGTGTGGGAGGCAGCAGTAAATGCAGCAGCACTTTGAGGGGTCAAGGATGACATCCAGAATTCTGGCGTGGGCAACTGTGATGTGCGGAGGAGCAGGTTTGGGCAGGGAATTACAAGTGTATTCCATTGGTGTGAGCTGCACGTGCAGTGCATGTGGGGCGTCAGACAGGGAGAGGTGCCCTGTTGCCCCCAGAAAGAGAGATGTGGCCAGGATGAGGAGGATACACAGGATGATGTGTGGTAAAGGCAAGATAAGGTGCCAGGGCAGAGCGTGAGTACCTAGTATTAGAGAAGCCAGGGTGGGCAGCGGGGAGAAAGCAGGTAGGGAGAGGAGAGGAAGACCAGGAGAGTGGGTGCCATGGGCCCATGGTGGTCAGCATGCCCACAGGCCTGGGAGATCCGGATGGTGGTTCTAATACCACCTTCGAAGGCCTGGGAGCGATTCCCTTCACCTCCCTGGGTCTCAGTTTCCCCATCTGTAACCTGGGAAAGTTGGTCTTGGCTTCATGGGTCTTCCTGTACCAACATCTTAAGACTCTCAGGCCTCTTTCTTGAGTAGCACTGGGTGTGGTACAGCTTACTGGGGCCTTGAAAGTGGTCTGGGGCCAGGAGAGCCAGGAGAGGCGTGAGGGAGCAGAGAGGCCAGGGAGGCAGTGCCTGGTTTGGCAGGAAAAGGGGCAGTGTGAGGTCAAAGGAAGGTTTCTGAAAGCCTGAATCCCTGTGTTTGCAGGACAAGTGGAAGATTCCAAGGGGAGGGGTAGCTATGGCTGGCAGAGAGAATGGGGCAAGATGGGAAGATGCAGGGTGGGCTCTAGGGCACAGAGAATGAGCATCGGCTCTGATTCCATGTGGGCATCGCATCCTGCCATGTTGGAAGTTCACACCATGCCATTTGACCCGTGTATGTATGTCTGTGTATGTTTAGTGAGGCCTAAAAAGCTGCCCCATGAGGGTCCCCAACTTCTGGGCCTGGGCTGGGGGAGTTGCAGCAGGCAGACCCCTGGGGTGCCAGGCTTCCTGTCTCTAAAGCACTTGCATGTGGTAAAAAGCTTTCTTCTCCTCCACTGCCTCCTTGTTGCTCCTTCCCAGCGAAAGAAATTACGGTATTCAGACCTGGACTTTGAGGTAAGGGCTGTGTGTGTGCTGGGCGGTGGGACATCTGGCTGCGGTGTCTGTCCCTGGAGGGCCCACTCCTAAAAGTAGTCCAAGCTCTGTTGCAGAGCCTGACCCCAGGAGCCCAAGCCTGTGGGTTCTGTGGGATCTTCCCATGATTCCCTCCCTGCCCAAGCCCATAGCACCGATGTGAAAAGAGAACCAGGGCTTTTCCCAGAGGGGCTGGCAGCAGGGAGGGATGTGGGGGGTCCGGGATGCTGAGTGCCCTGGGTAGGGGGGATCATGGTTCTGCCTCAGGGAGCAACCCTCTGATGCCCTGTGGCCCCTAGAAGGTGATGCACACCCGGAAACGGCATTCAGAACTCTACCACGAGCTCAACCAGAAGTTCCACACTTTTGACCGCTACCGCAGCCAGTCCACGGCCAAGGTGAGGGCTCCTCCCATGGCTGCCCCTGCCCCGAAGCTCAGGGCCTGACCTGGTGCAGCAGCCCCTGGGGTTGGAGCCTGACCGGTGGCCCCCGTTGCAGAGGGAGAAGCGGTGGAGTGTGTCCTCGGGTGGGGCGGCCGAGCGGAGCGTGTGCACCGTGAGTCCCCCCGGGCTGGGTGTGGTGAGGTGGGCCTGAGGGACCCATGCCCTCCCTGCCCTCCTGCCCCTCCCAGGCAACCCCAGCTTGTCTCACCAAGGGCCTCCCCCATGGCATGGGCAACAGTCTGGGGCCGTCTGGGGGTGGGGAAGGTGCCGCAGATGGCGAACAGGGGTGGAGGTCCTCCAGGATTGGGAGGGAGAGCGGTCAGCAGGAGACATGTCCCGGGGGCCACTGAGAACAGGCAGGGGTCAGGAGCCCCACCCTGGAACCAGGCAGGTCTGTATTTGAACTCTGCTTTGACACCTGATTGCTCCATAATTTTGGGCATTACCAGCCCTCTCTGGGCCTCCTCAGTTTGTTCTTCTGTACAATGGGTGAGGATACTGGACCATCCTCACGGCTCCTCCCGCTCCCTCCACAGGATAAGCCCAGCCCCGGGGAGCGCCCCAGCTTGTCCCAACATCGGCGCCATCAGAGCTGGAGCACCTTCAAATCTATGACACTGGGCTCGCTGCCCCCCAAGCCCCGAGAACGGCTGACTCTGCACCGGACAGCAGCCTGGGAGCCCACAGAACCACCGGATGGTGACTTCCAGACAGAGGTGTGAGTGCCACGCTGGACTGCCCACTGCATATAAATATATATATCTCTCTATTTTCACACTCCACTTTGGAACTACCCAGGAGCCAGCGCCCTCTCCCCTCTCCCGAGGGCTGGGCAGGGAGGCGCCGTGGACTCAGCCAGGCTTGGGGAGCCAGACATGGCTTGGCCTAGGGGCCCAGGGCCCTTCCTTGTTTCTCAGAGGCCCCTCAGTCACTGGAACCCCATCTTCAGCCCAGCCTGTCCGTCCCTGTCCCGGGCTGGGGAGGGGGGAGGGGAACTTTGTTGGGAATAAACTTCACTCTGTGGATTTTGCTGCTGAGCTGTTTGCTTTCCTCAGGTAAAGGCCTAGCTCTGGGACTGTGACTTTGTTCCTGTCTCCTGGGTTGAACTCACTTGATCTCATCAGATTATGTGATGGGGTTGGGCCAGCCCTGCCTGGGAGGGGGCGGCCTAGGCTCTGACCCCATCTTTGTCTCTGACTCTCTGGGTGACTCATCCTTTCCCCGATCTGGGTTGGGGAAAGCAGATTGGGAGTGTGGGAGGGGACCTCTTATGGCTGGCCTTCCCTGGTGGCTGTGATGGTCATGGCTGCCATTCACTGGGGCTCAGAGGCCAGACTGCCTGGGCTAGAGCCAAGACAGAGCTTAGTGACCTCGGTTCCACATCTGTGAAGTGGGGATGGTAACAATGCCCACCTCACAGGGTTGTTACGGGGATGAAACGAATTCCTATGTATAACGTGCTCAGCAAATACCTGGGACAGGATAAGCTCTTGAAGGATTAGCTGTTACCACATGGCACCAGTCTCATGCAGTGCTCTAAGCTAGGAGCTTCACACACGTCCCCTGGCCCCTCACAACAACCCTGTTGTTGGCCCATTTTGTGGATAGGAAAATGAGGCCAGAGATGGGAAGTGACCTGCTCAAGGCGACAGTCAGGCAGAGCTGGGACTTCAAACCTATGCTTGGTGGAGGTGGGGCTTCAGCTCAGCTTCCTGGAACTTGACCATGGCTGCAAGGGGGGCCTCAGGCACTGGGTTGTGGTGGAGCTGCAGGTGTTGGGCCAGGCCAGGGCTAGGGTGGGGTGGGGTGCGGGAGCCAGGCTGGCTTGGTGCCGGGGGCAGGAGGCTTGTGCTGAGTTGCATTCGTTACATGCCTGAGTGAGCAGATCCTTGCTCAGTTCTCAGGCCCCCGGAAAGAGGGGGCACAGGATGACATGTGGGAACATCTTCTCGAGTCAGGCAGCAGCTGGAGCGGAGGCACAGTTAACAGAGTCAAAGGTCCTTGCTCGCCTGGTCATTTAGCAACATGGGCGCCTCTGGGCCCCTTCCCACGGACTCAGAGACACAGACAGGTTCCTGGAGAGCTGAGGGAGGGCTAGGTGCTGCGGCAGCCTGGGTGGGAGTGACAGAAGTGACTGGCTGCTGGGGTAGGGGGTATCACAGATACTGGCCTGCCCAGAGCGGGTGGAGGCCTCTTCAGAGTTTTGCAGGCCTTGATGGCACAGGCTTGCTCTCGGTCTCATTCCAATCCTGCCTGCTGTGAGACCTGGTCAGAGGAGCCATGCAGGCAGAGTCCACTCAGGACTGTGCTCCTAGACCCTCGGAGCTCCTGCGAGTCACTCCTCTGCCTCCCTCCCTTCGGGCAGCCCCAGCACTTAAGTGTACACAGAGCTCACTCAAGCACTACCTCATTTGATTCTTCAAGGTAGGTATTGTGACTGCCCCATTTTAGAGATGAGTAAATCGAGGCTCAGAGAGGGGACATGACTTTCCCAAGCTCCCACAGCTTGTGACTGGGACTTGTGGCTGGGAGTGGCAGAATCTGATACCAGCCAGCTTAGGCACCTGGGAGCTTTGTTCACGCAGGAGCATGCTGTGGCAAGGACAGCAGTGGGCAAGTGCAGCCGGCCTTGGTGATAGGACCTGGGATCAGGAGTGCCACCGCATGTTTCATCCTTTCCTGGCATTCTCTGGAATGTGTGTCAGCTTCATTCCTTAAAGCCTCTTCCCCCAGGGCCCGCCAGGCTTCCTCCTCTCAGCTTCATCACTCAGCATTGCCCCTAGAGGGGAAGGAACTTTCTCTCTTGAATCCCAATTAGAAAACCCTCAAGGAAGGAAGAGCTCTGGCTGGCCCCAGGCAGGAGGCTGGGGCACTGTGATTGGCGGTCCCATCAGGAACCTTGGGGGAGAGGGAGAGGGGGGAGAAAGGGGGGGCCTGTTTGTAGAAGGGGGTTTACACAAACAAAGCTCCCATCCCGGACCGTGTACCAGCAGACCCTGCTCCACATCCTGGGCCATTCCTTCCTCTGACCATCACCTAAAGGCCCTCTTAGTGCCTCGTCCTGTGCTCTCACCTCCCTCCTTCGTGGTCTTGGGCTCCGCTGGTCACCACCTCTGGGGCCCTCTGGGGCTGAGGTGCAATGTGCACGTCCCTGCCCTCCTGTCCATTCTTGCTTTGCATCTGGTTGAAGAGGAAGGTTAGTATTTACCTTGTTGATTCTGCTCAAACACAAACCACAGCTGCCAGCAGAGGCCTCTGCTGGTTTTGGGACCAGCCACTTAGCATTCCTGGGTTGGGGGCTTTGTCCCTTCCTAGCCCTCAGTCCCTGCTCCCCCAGGCACTGACTTGCTGTGTGACCTTGGATAGGCCACTGGATCCTGTCTGACTTGGGTTTCCCTATCTGCAAAATGAGTTGGTCTGATATCCCTTCCATTTGAGCTAATATCTAACAACCTGTCATTTCTTTTCTGGACTCAAATTTCTCACATCATTGCCCTCATTTTCTCTGCCTCCAGTCTCCAGCCCTTCATCCACATGGCCCAAGTGATCTTTCCAAAATGCAGATCTGGCCAGGCCACTGCTCAGACGCCTTCTGTGGATCCTGGAATTAGCCTAGAGTTCAAGGCCCTTGGCAATGTGGCCCTTGCCTCCCTCCTCTGGCCCATCTCTCTGACCTCCATGCCTATGCTTGTACCATTCCTTCTGCCTGAAACTCCCTCCTTCTCACAGAGGGAAAACTCTCCTTCAGCCTTCCAGACCCAGCCCAAGTAGCCCGCTGTGTGATGCTGTCCGTGAACTGCCTGGCCCAGCAATCAGCACTCTCTAGGCCCCCACAGGCCTTGGCAGCACTGTCACTGCTGCAGTGATCACACAGAACTGCTGTCGTCTGTGTTGACCTTACTGCGGTTTATGCACTCAGAGGCCCACATGAAGCAGGCATCAGTGGATCTTTAGTGGGTGAAGGGTGGAATACACAAATCTTCCTGAGCATTGATTTCCTCATCTGCAAAATTGGGATAATGACAATCCCTACCCAGTCTTCCTCACTGGATATCCGGAGCATGACTTAAGATGATTCATGGGAAGCATTTTGTAGGTGTTAATCTACTCCTCCCACAGTTATTCCTTCCTCAACCCCAAGTGGGAAGCCAGCCCTGGATGCTGTCCAGGGTGCTGAAAGGGACATGTCTTCTCCCAAAGGATGAGGAGACAAGACTGAGAGGCCCACACAAGCTCAGCTGCAGCCTTTCCTTGCTTTCCTGACTGGCAGGGTCAAGGGTGAGCAGACCATCCCTACCTTCATGAGAAAAGACCCTGCGAGATGTCCAATAAAAATACAATGTAAACGACATATGTAATTTAGAATTTTCTAGTAACCATTTAAAAGTTTAAAAAGGTGAAATTCATTTTAATATATTTCATTCTATATATTTAAAATATATATTTAAAATATATTCATTCTATATATTTAAAAAGATCATTTCAACATATAATCAATATAAAAAATGACTGAGATATATTTAACATTCTTTTTTATACGAAGTCTTGGAAATCTCGTGTGTTTTATACATGCAGTGCACCTCAAGTCAGTCTCACCACCTTCTGACTGCTTAGTACTCCCATGAGGCTACCATGTTGGACAGCACAGCTCTAGGCAGAACAAAGGCAGTGACCTTGAGCAAGTGAACTCAGTGCCCTCTGTGAAAAGGAGGTACTTCCCCACAGCCTGCTTTATGGGGCCATGGAGAGGGCTTGAGGAGGCGAAGGAGGGAAAGTTGCCAGCACAGTGCCCGCACAAGGGAGGTCCAAAGCCAGCGTTCCTGGACTCCACATATCCTGGGGATACCGGTGGGCAGGGAGGAGGTGTTGGGGAAGTAGGGGAAGGTCCTGAGGAGACCTGTGGACTGGTATCAGGCCTCCCTCAGCAGCTCTGGGGGAAGGGTGCACCCTCACCCTCACCCTCACCCTTACCCTTACCCCTGCAGCCACAGACTCTGGGAGAGGGGAAGCAAGTTGAGGCTAGACTAGAACAGACACATTAAAACTCAATTGGGCTTAAATCACTTCCATTAGGTGCCAGTTTAAAGGAAATTAGGTGGCCTGAGGGAGGACCTTGGTGCGGGATGCTGCTGACTTCTGCTTCTCAGGACTCATTTCCCTTCAGGCTTCCTCATGCCCACCCTGGAACCTCATGGGGTCACCCAGTTGGGGCTTTTCTAATCCAGTCCCCAGCACCCACCATATTCCTCCCTCCACTCCTCCAAGGCCACCTACTCCAGGAAGACTTCCACACTCTCAGGCCCTGAAAATACACGCTAAGTGTCCAAGGCAGAGGAGACTCCATTGGGGGTTTTGGCCCTTAAGGAGAGTGGGAAGCTATGGAAGAGTGTTGAGCAGGGGACTGGCATGATCAGATTTCTATATCAACACAATTTCTCTTGAGTAGATGGAAAATGGATTCGTGGGGGCAGGGACACTGAAGAGTGAGGGTGGATAGAGAGAGACCAGCAAGGAGATGACCTGCATTAAGGAGACTTTAGAGGGTGTTGTGGAGGAGGAATGGAATTTCTATATATGTAGTGGGTAGAATTGTCAGCACTCAGCACCTGGTGTGGATTGGGTATCAGAGGATGACACCTGGGCTTCTGTCTTAACACACCTGGATGGATAACCGGGTCATTGGCATAGGGGTACAGGAAGAGGACCAGCTTTGGGGGAGACAGTCATTAATTTGTCCTTGGGCATTGTCTTAGTCTATTTTGTGCTGCTATAACAATACCTGAGACTGGGTCACTTATAAAGAACAGAGATTTATTTCTTGCAGTTCTGGAGGCTGGGAAGTCCAAGGTTGTGGAGCCATCATCTGGCAAGGTCTTTTTTTGCTGCATCATCTTATGGCAGAAGGCGGAAGGGTGAGAGAGAGAGCAAGAGATTGAATTCAAAGACCCGAGCTCTTTTATAATCAGTGTTAA